ACTTTAAGAAGAGAACATGAAAAGAACAACAAGTTTTTTTGGTTACTAAGTAAAATAGAAGCGGTTATTTTGGGTGCTTGTAGAGTGGTGAAGTAATGCAAAAGTAATAGCAGACGGGTATGTTTTGTTGAGAAGAAAAGAGGTGCATTTAACTGAGGAAAACCTATTCTACAGCGTGTATGTTTTTTCAAGAAGAGCACGACCTCTAATAATACGAGCATTTTTAATAGCAGAGCTTCTGGTGTTATAAGAATGATGATTGCGATTTGAACACAACTCAATAAGATAAGAAGGCACTCTACAACACATAATTTTGTGAAATAAGCACATGCGGCGTATATATAAAAGTTGTGAAATAGACAGCCTTCCAAGATCCTGAAGAATTTTACTCAGAGATGCGCATCGCATCCGAAGCAGCAAGACCTGCTTGATACTGAATTGGTTCAAGCGAATTATATTTGTAGTAGTTGTTCCCCCATAGATAACAAGCCCGTAGTTAATAACATTAAGAACAAACGCATGGTAGACGGAGACCAAGGTTTGACGGGAAACACGTCTGCTCAAATATTTCATTGAGCTGACTACGTTTAATGCGAATATTATTGATATGAGGCAACCAGTCTAAGGTTGATTCAAGCCCAAGTGACCTTGTTCCCCAGCATATTCTAGTGCTATATTATCAATAAACAAGGAAGAAGAAGGAAATAGGGTTTTATCATGGGAAAATAACATAGCGACACACTTATTAATATTTACAGCGTACCGTCTCTGCGTCTCTATATTTTTTTATTTTTAGAACAGACAGGAAAATGTTCGATATATTTCTTGTAGAGAATCATGTGTCGAATCTTTTAAAAAGCATTAACTCTAGGCACCTAAAGGAACAAGAGAAAAATAGAGAATGCGGAGGATATCACTCATTATGGTATACCCCTTATTATTACTATGAAGTGGAATAACAGTTTTTTTTAAGCAGTTGAATTTTTATTCAAAAAAAATACAGCAAATCGGGCTTTCTCCCATTACATGCTGTCAAAAAGTGAATAACAGTTTGTACATGCAAAATTCTACATTCGTTTTCGAAGTCTAAGTCTACAAAGTCTACAGGAGATAAACTGTTCCCTTTTGTGCTTATCAATCGGCACAACTTTTTGATAAGAAATCGTTTGGCAAACAACACTTATGGAATACAGGCAATCGTTCCCGAAACCGGGACGCTCGCAATTTTCTTCTTAACTTCGAAATTATGCTTTACAACTTTTAGGAGAAATCTGTACATTCAAGCTACCGGGTAGCCATAGGGACATTGAATTTCAGCAATTAGCATTAACTCTAATAGCCTATGCAAAAAAGCCATAGGTGCTTACTTCTTTTTGCTTCCAAAAGAAATTAAAATTTTTTGGAGGTGAAAGTATTATTTTATTGTCCCTGTCACGTTGAGCCAGATTAAATTTATTTATTACATCCTCTACTCGAAGAAAAACCACTTACTAACAATGAATTGTTTTGTGTAACGAGCTGTCCTTCTTATTATACTATTTATTATATAGTCAACATTTTCTTTGGAAAAAAAAACAACTATCATACAATTTGACTCTGTTTACTTTACTGTAACGAAGAGAATGATGGAATTGAGTACTAATTGGCTTACCGAATAGTGAACGCTTTTAAGGTAATATGGAGATCAAAAGTATTAAAAATAGTAGCCTTCAGCCTCGTCATCATTGCATAGTGATCTACGTGGAATATCGAATTTTTTCACCACAGGTGCAGTAGCTGTAAATGGTCGCCGAGACGACAATGGTGGTACAGTTTTGAAATGTTTTTGATAAAATGCTGTTATTATTTGTGCTAATAGTTCTGGTTGATCAATGGCCATAAAATGACCACATTCATCAACAATTCGTATTTCTGAATTTGGTATCAAATTACGAAAATATTCGGCACCGGTATATGTAAATAACTAAAAAAAGGTTTCTCTGATTCTATCAGGTTAAACAGAGATGCTTACTTTATCTTCTCGACCCCATATAATGAACACTGGGCATTCAACACTTCTTAGTTGTTGATGATATGTTTCAAATTGTGGATAGTCATACTCTAACAGAGATGACAAAACTAAGAGTAAAAAGAGACTAACGTGGAAGTGCATGTCACAATAAAAGCGGCTACCTTTTCGATGTTCATCAAGGTGTCTTCGTCTCAATTTAAGAAATCCATTTAAAAATGGTCGTGGTAAATTAATACGCTTGATTGTTAATAGTCGAACCATATTATGAAATTGTTCGCATGTTTGAGGTAATAATGTATCATAATCACCAGCACGTATTGTACGAATCAAATCTGTTTCACTTGATTCATCAGCTATGAGAGAGAGGCATAAATGTGAGCGAATGATACCAGAATGATATAAATGATACACAAAAGTTTCTCTCATCTTCTTATTTTACCTGGTGGTGCAAGTAACATCACCATCTTTACATATTCTGGATATTTTGTGCTAAACATTAAAACAACTGATCCTCCCATAGACGCACCAATAAGACATATATTCGGATTTTTTCTATCAACAAGGCCAAGCGCATCGATGAACTATTCAACATAAATATACACAAATATCTTATTGAAATGGATATACATCAACGTACTTTTTTCAGAGAATCAGCAAATTTATTACATGTATAAAAATCTTCATTCAAACCTACTGTCGAACCATGTCCAGGTAAATCAACGGTAACAACATGATAAATATCTGGTATGTCCTAGAGATATGAAAGGAATTTATACACATTAACATCATGCGTTTCCTTACCTTTATTATGGGTAAAAATGTTTCTTTATTTGATGATAAACCATGAACAAATAAAATTGTTGGTTGTCCCAATACTTTAACACCTTTTTCACCGTAGCTGAATTTTGCATTTTCGCCAACTCTTATTGAATGATTTTTTACACCGGCTCTAAATGCACTGATCCTACAATGCATACAAAAAATATATCAGTCTATCATTGTCATACGATTAACAAATAGTTTACTTGAAATACTGTTGAACCATCCATGCATCCCTATTTTAGACACAGAAAAAGTGAAGAATAACTACTGAACATAGCAAAGAATCGAAACAATACTTTACATCGATTTGAATATCTATAATAAAATAAGAACTTTCATTTACGTTGGTATTCCGTATTAATCTCTCTTATGAAGATCTAAATTTGTCAGTCGATCTCTCGGTTTGAGAGATACTAGCTGTTTTAGCTTAGATGTAACAAGAACTCCGTCAAAATCTAAGACTCTGTAATTATTAAAGTCATCTTGTACAGGCATTCATGATTATTTAGGCAGAGTACTTTCCTTTTCTATAACAATGATCACGATTTACAACCACTTTGTTCTGCAGCAGACTTTCTTCGTTTCTATTTTAAAATAATTTATTCTCGCATCCTTGAGCCAATAAAACTGAGTGAAGTGAGTACTTGTTTGCATTTTTATTTTTCGGTTCTGCTAATACAGTAAAAAATCATTAATTTAAAAAAAATGTATCCAAACAGAGACATACGTGCGAAGACGTCTATCATATCAAACGAGAAAGATAAAAAATGCAACTTGCTCAAATTTTTAGCTATAGACTAAATAAATGCAATTCATTGTCATAAAGAACGTGATCGATTATTTGCTTTCTACAATAGTGTTATATGTCAGAGAAAAAATTAGAAAATACAGTGAAAAATGTGATACTTTCTAGGTCTTAACATTACTATTTGAAGATCTCACCAGTCTGCGGGAGCCTGCAGTTCTGTTCGGTTTTTATGTTCTTTTAACTGAAAGATGCAAAAATGTTGACCGTTCGTGAAATATTCGTTTCACCAATTCGAATTGATTACACCAAGTGGAAAGTTTTGCATTTTATTTTCTTACCTATACTATACATTATCCTTTCGAAAACGTATTTTCTTCTTAACTAAATTACTAATGAGTTTAAAGGCGACGTATAGTTCTGGTTGAAATAGATAAAAGTCGAGTGAGTTTTAAGTTGTCTTTAACTTTGTAACGTGTTTGTTCTGGCTGCTTTAAAGGTTTGTGCAAGTTTTCGAAAAAACGATACCGATTCATTTACATATTCAAGATGAATTTCGCTTCCTCTAATGCCAGTATTAATTGGTTCAACCGTGTTTTCATCTTTATATTTAAATTCAACATCTTTCATAACTTTTTTAACTTTAAACAAATTTCCCGGTAGTATTAGAACTTCTTTTTCGTTCGGATACTTTGATATGTCTTCTATTTGAAATATAGTTTTTGATTCCTTTTTAATATTGAAAATATACAATACAGGTTTTCTGACTGTCGAATTCTTCTCATGTTGTTTGTCTAATTTATCTTGTATAAATTTCAGTGCTACCTTAATACTCATTGTTGTTGATGTAAAAGATTTCAAATAGATAATACCAGTATGTTCTTTATCACATGCCTCTTCGTAAGCCAACACTTCTTCATCAGACATTGATGCGCCACGGTATGTCGCACCACGAAATGTCCGTTTTGTTAATTCATTTTGTCTAACATAAAATTCCATTAGGAAACGGTCACATAAATGCGCACTGTGTTCTTGATTTTCTCCTCCTGTTGCCAGTTGTTTATTTAATGCTGAATAAAACGACTGTATTTTTTCTCCTGTCGTTTCGTTCTTTGCAGCTTCGTGTGTGTAAAGTGTAATTAAGGGTTCAATATTTTGACACTGTAATTGTTCTTCAATCTTTTTACGGTCTGTTTCGTTTTTGTACGTTTTTTCTAAAAACTGTAAAAAATCGCGATCCTTTTCTAGTGAAAACCAGCTGCTATCATAATCTTGATGTTGAATTATTCCTTTACGTGATACCCAATTATAAAATTGTAACCACATTGCTGTTGTCTGATGATTTAATACATATTCACGATATTCTTCACGTGTTCGAAATGCATGAAAAAAGTCACTTTTAGCTTCTGTTTCTTCTGTTGTAGCTCTTGTCTGAGCTGGTGTTAACGGATGATGTTTAATTAAACCTGTATATATTGTTCCATAAACGACATTTGTGTCTGAATCATGAAATTTATCTGATGTTTCACCAGTTACCGTACTACGATCAAATTTTATACGTATTTGTTCAGAGGACGCCTCTTGATAGGGTCGTCTACCGGCATAGTTTATCGTTGTTGTACAACATTCAGCTTTTAATAAAATATCAACAATTTCAGCGTATCCCGCACGAGTTGCTACGTGTAATGCAGTATCACCATTTGGCTCTAATTTATCAAGATCTTCTTTTGTCATCGTCGGCAAGGTATTACGAATAAATTCGATGTCACCATTTTTACAGGCCACATAAAATTCACTTTCATTACCCGTTGTAAATTTTTGTTTCCGTCGTTGTTCGATTATTCGATGCGTTGGACTCACGCGACTAGGATAACAGCCCATTTCCTATCTTTCTGAAGCAAATGAACGTTACAGAAATCTAATAACAAAAGAACTAACCTAACACTGCCTTTGAAGTACAGTAACAAGTAATCACGTCCGCACAGTGATTGATTGAACAAAAACAGACAACAAAACATACCTGTCTGCTATTACTTTCGCATTACTTCACCACTCTACAAGCACCCAAAATAACCGCTTCTATTTGACTTAGTAACCAAAGAAACTTGTTGTTCTTTTCATGTTCTCTTCTTAAAGC